ACTAAAGTGCACAAAGTGATGCTACCTGGTACAGATTGGCATTGAACTCTGTTGCGCATGCTCACCAAACTATATGTTCTCGCTGACATCCGTTGTTTATAACGGAGCTTGAAAGGAAAGTGTGCAGAGTGTGGCCGTCTCACTCTATCACAGAGGCTCTAGTAGTGACAATGGTTTGTGCAATATTTTGGGACCAAGAACAATATTCCCCCAGTCTGACAACTACTCTATTCCCCAAACCTCATCCATTGTGACTTTTTTCCTCTTCAAAAATCAAATCCCACTTTAAAGAAACAAGTTTTCAAGATGTCGAGGAAATCCAAGAGAATGTGACGAGACACCTGCTCGCTATCTCAAAAAGGTAGTTCCACGAATGTTTCCATCATTTCAAAAGACGCTGGATAAAGTGTGTGGCTTCAGAAGGGGACTTCTTCGAAGGAGATTAAATATCGAATTGATATATATTGTAGTTTTCTTTTCATTCCACCAATGTCAAAAATTTTGATTTTGATAAGACCTCATATATATATATATATATATTCCCTGACGATCCGATTAGGTGAAACGTCGGTAGTTTTATCCGGCTCTCTAGGTTTAACTAGGTCTGCTCTTTATTTACTTGTTTTGGGTACTCGCATCGGGTTTTTTTTCTTTGGGTCTTGAACTCGTATGCTGGACGATTATTTCCGGCTAACGTACATGTTCTTGGTTACTTTTTTCCCTTTGGTATTGGCTTGTTTATTTGCAAATCAATACAACGAAGGTTTTCCGAGCGAGTATAGTTTCTTATACTTATTTCTATAATAATATATATATATATATATATATATATATATATATATATATATATATATATATATATATGTGGTGCACCACATATTTGATTTAAAAAAGAACTCATCCGACGTGCAAATTTTCGGGATAACAGCTGCGACATTACTCTACTTATTGAACAATTTAGTTCATGCCACATTGACTGAAAAACTCCTACAACAAAAAAATTATCAAAAAAAATTCTCAAATTGCCATATTAGTAAAAACGCACTCTCTTAAATTTTCAAAAAATTAATTCAACCTTCGCGTTGCGACTGCATGCTCTAAAATTTTTTATCCGTTAATAATAACACATTTCTAAAAAAAATCATATTTCGATTCGCATTTAATCTTTCGTGTCCCGATACTATCTGGATTTACTAAAAAAACAAAATAATTTCCATGCCTGAGGATGGCTGTATGTAAAGCTGAAAGTACTAGCAGAATAAAAAAAAGACATTATACAACTTGAAGTATTAAAAACAAGGATCATAACATTCATCGTGAGGTTCGTGGGTTAATGTAACTTTAGTAAATTTTTTTGCGAAGATGTTTTTCGCCACTTATATCAATAACTTTACTAATCAACTTTTTGTATGAATGATTCATGTAATATAAATTGAACTGCACCACATATTTGATTTAAAAAGAACTGATCCGACGTGCAAATTTTCGGGATAACAGCTACGATATTACTCTATTTATTGAACAATTTAGTTCATGTAACATCGACTGAAAAACTCCTACAACAAAAAAAAATCTCAAATTAACATATTAGTAAAAAAACGCACTCTCTTAAATTTTTTAAAAGAATTCAACCTTAGCGTTGCGACTGCATGCTCCCAAATTTTTTATCCGTTAATAATAACACATTTCTGAAAAAACATATTTTGATTAACATTTAATCTTTCGTGTCCCGCTACTACCTAGATTTACTAAAAAAACAAATTAATTTCCATGCCTGAGGATGGCTGTATGTAAAGCTGAAAGTACTAGCAGAATAAAAGAAAAAGACATTATACAAGTTATTAAAAAACAAGGATCATAACATTCATCGAGTGGTTCGTAGGTTAATGTAACTTTAATAAATTTGTTTGCGAAGATGTTTTTCGCCATTTATATCAATAACTAATCTACTTTTGTATGAATGATTTATGTAATATATATATATATATATATATATATATATATATATATATATATATATATACTAATGAAAGCAATAACACTCGCACACTTCTATGTGCCGTGTCAACTTCCATACGTTTGCGATCTTGTAGTTCTCCACAATTTCATGTCCTTTGTAGCTCTTAATAAATTTTTTGTCTTCTTATGATCTCTCCTAACCCCTGTTCTGCCATCCTAGTTCTCTACGTAGATTATACGTTGTTTTCCTCTGTCGTTCTTGCTTTCGATCTGTCATATGTGTATCAAATTTTCCAAACCCTCTTTCCTCATTATGTACACTAGAGATTTCGACTGTCTCTTTCTGATTTTAAATATAAGTGCCCTTTTTGTTTCCATTTTCTCTAAAACTTCGTCGTTGGTGGCATGTTTGGTTTATGCTATTCTCAGCATCCTTCTGTAGAAACGATTTTACAAAGTGTTGTTTTTTACTAGGTGTTTGCAATATAAGGTCGGTAAATAAATAATTAGCTGAAATGCATATTAGACAACATATTTGACAAAGTCTGAATACACAGTCTCTCTCTCTCTCTTTCTCTTTCCCTCTCTCACACTCTCTTTCTCTCCCTCTCTGTCTCACGTATTCTCTCTCTCTCTCAGACACTCGTTCTCCCCTTCTCTCTCTCTTTCTCTCTCACATACATTTTCTCTCACTCTCTCTTTGTCTCTCTTTGTATACCTTGATTCGTACTGCACGACAATCATTATCTTCCAGTGGCAATGACAGTAACCAACTCCCTAGGCGATTTTATCGTATATATTTCAACTGCGTTATGTTTGGGTGCATTTGAGAGGTGCGCCGTCTATCAGCGACGCCGTCTTCGTCGCTTGTACGCAATAAGTGACAGTGAACTGACATTTTTTCTCACGAACACATTTCAGCTCATCCATCTTACCTGTTTTTGTTGGTTCTCACAATGTATAGAGAAGAAAACACGACATGGCGAAACGGTTATCAGCCAAGCCTATCAATCCTTAATTTCGTTGTCTCACAATAAGGATATACGGCGGAGTAATGGAAGGAGAAGGAGGCACTGTGGAGTAATGGAAGGAGGCACGGTGGAGTAATGGATAGCGGCTTGGATTGAGGAATCGGAGAGCCGAGTTCGAATTCCAATCGAATCCATTACATTCACTTACGTGCTAATACCCTTGGGAAAGGTGTGAATCCTCTCTCTTCTCCCTTCAGCTATGGGTAAATAGCAGGACAGACTGGGTTCTATAGCCTTGGATGGCAACTGGTCTAGGAGAAGGAAAACTCTGAATTCAAAACCTGCTCTTAGATGAGGGTGAATGGAGTCTCTCTGAGCCTTGGTTGGCAATCCATTTAGTGTTGATGTCACGATAAAAACACCCTTGATAGCCCTAGCGAAGCATCAAGAATTCAGCTATTTCACAAGATTATGAACTACACCAATCAAAGTATTGGTGAGTTCAATCTCGGCTGAGGCCGCAAGATGATGATGATGATGATAGAGACTCGGACTGCGAAAATCGGAGAGCCGAGTTCGAATTCCAGTTGAGTTCACTGCACTCACTCACGTGCAAATACTCACCTCTTCTCCCCGCTCCATAGCAGGGCAGACTAAGTCCTATTGCCTTGAGTGGCAACTAATCTAGCAGAAAGACAACTGAGTTTAAAACCTCAAATTCTGAATTAAAGAGCCTCATCATCTTGCGGCCTCAGCCGAGATTGAACTCACTACACCTTTTCCAGTATTCCTTATCTGTCATAGCTAATACTTTGATTGGTGTAGTTCGTAATCTTGTCAAATAGCTGAATTCTTGATGCTTCGCTAGGGCTATCAAGGGTGTTTTTTATCGTGACACCATCACTAAATGGATTGCCAACCAAGGCTCAGAGAGACTCCATTCACCTTCCACAGGTTTTGAATTCAGAGTTTTCCTTCTCCTAGACCAGTTGCCATCCAAGGCTATAGAACCCAGTCTGTCCTGCTATTTACCCATAGCTGGAGGGAGAAGAAAGAGGATTCACACCTTTCCCAAGGGTATTAGCACTAGGCCAGGTGTAGTGAGTACGACATCACTCCTGAAGATATGGAGTAAGAAGCCGCTTGATCTGGTTCTGTTTTGGTTAGCTTTCATCCCTGGTACCTTTTTTTGGTATCTTGTACTTTCAACTATGGGTACTCTATAGGTTCCGTATTGTTAAATCTGTGGAGCATCTCACGAGAGACTTAGCTACATGTTTCCAACGCAGTTCAAAGGTTCGAGCTCAAATCAAAGGCCACGATTTCGAATTCTGATTTTATAGGCAAGTAGACCCTCCGATTTGGAAGATCAGTACAACACAATCTTCCTGCCCCTTTTGGATGGTCTTGTAGCGTATTTATTCATACTTGTTTATTCCCTATCACAAGTTCTGTAACACAGTAGGGTCGTAGAAGCCCATATTATCAAGAGAGATAAATTCGACATTTTCAGAAAAAATAATTTTCAACAAGTGCAAGAATTGTACATACATATATTTTTATATAATGAAAAAGACATCATTCAAGAAGAGAGAAATATATACATGCGTAGGCACAGATAGTTGAAAAAAGGAGACAAACATTACAGACATTGCTGTTATAAAATATGTGTGCGTGTGTCTGTGTGTACGTTCACGCACGCGCGTATGCTTCGCTACGTGGCTGAGTTTGAAGTTTAGCAGTCAGCCACCTAGGGAATTTTTTTTTCCCGGGGTGGGGGACATGACGCGTCCTTTATCTACGCATTCTAGAGCGAAAAGAGAAAGAGGGAGCTCATCTCCTTCCTTTTATAGTCCTAGGCAACTCATCCTAGCTGGCGTCTTGGCAGGCGAGGTGGTAGTATACCCCAGAAGATAAAAAGCACTCCACTAAATTTCACAGTGGTTTATATTGTATATATTCTTTAATGACCATTAAAATATTGAAAACTAAGAATTAGTTAACAAATAGTATGGATATGTTTTTTTGGTAAGTAATCTCTCAAAGCATAAATTTCTTTTTTGAGAATACAAGCAGCAAGTCTGCGGCCACGTAGAGACGAGTTAGGTATTTATTATTCATGTTGCATATTGTCGAAAATTCTGATTGGCATGGCTGTGTGGTTAGAAATTGGAGCATAATTTTTAAGGCTCTTTGTACCAGTTTTTAAATACATGTTACCGTTTTGTATTGAGGGTACAGACTTTTTATTTCCTAATTTTCTCCGTTCTTCCTTTTTACAAATAGCACAAAAATTTTGACAATAATATGTGCCTTCATGAAATTTTATACACAACCCCGAGTAGCTCCCTGGCCTTGTACAATATTTGTAAAAAATGTCTAAAATGACTCCATTTTTTAATGCCTTCTGTTTGTAACTTATTATAATATATTATCTTCATACTAGCATTATTTACTTTTATAAGATAATTTGATGTTTTCATCCTTCCATCTATTTATAATTTAACTAGCAGCACGGCCCGACGTTGCCCGTGCTTGATTCAAAAATCGTACGACTCATACAGCAATCACTATCACTTGACTTAAAATATTTTTGCCCTTCCTTGCCTTTAAAGGAGTGCCCTTTGCTGTGCTGATGTTGCTACATGCCTTACTTCTTGCCTATCTCACACTGCGAATTTTTTCTAAGCTCTATACTAAACATTAAATCTGTTACGAAAAAAGAACTAAACAAAATGAACACAAAACGATCAGCTTTAAAAAAAGGACTCATAACTGGAAAAACCGAATGAAAAAAGAATGTTAACAACAAATACTTTTTTACACCCAACCCAGTTCTGCGGAATCAGAATCAACGTTGAGTTTAAGCAAGCGAATAAGCTGTTGGCTCTTACGCTGGTCAATAGAATCTTCCTGTCTATTCGTGGCAGCCAGCTATAGTCTCTCACTCTGGCCATCACAAAATGGCCGCAAACTACATGAAAACTGTCGTAGAAGCATGAAAAAATCGATTATTTCCACTATCGATGGGAGTTGGGAAATGCAATGTCGGTCTTGGCCTTCCCGCTAACTTGGAGCATGTGCATGTAAATTTTGGTGCAAATCCGTCAAAAATTGCGGCCGTGCATTCTTCACACACACACACACACACACACACACATCCTGCCTTTTATAGATAGAGATGCAATTTATTTTTATTATTATTTTTTCCTTTCATTTCCGGTGTATGTTCATTTCATTCTGGGTCCCAACCAGAGATCTAAGGTCAGAAATGGCATCATGACATTTTCCACTGAGCAGTTTTGGAAAAAAAATCACATATATTTTACATAGATAAATCCCTTCATAAGGTGCGGGCTGTACTTGTGAGAATATTATTTTTGTATTTCTTTAAGGCATGGGCTACAAGGAATCCCTTCACTGAGTCTATTGAAAATCTTTTCCAATCAATCCGAGTGCTCCAACTACAAGTGGAATTCTCGATGTCCTTATGTGCCACATTTTTGAGATTTCGATTTCAAGATCCTTGTATTTTGATAGTTTTTCTTCAAAGATATATTGCAGTCTGCATATTATTCTAGTTCCACGTGCCACGCCTTTTCTGGATATCTCAGTTTCAGTTATTTTCCTTCAGTAACTCAACTCAAATTTTTTTTTTCTTCACCTCTGCTGTGCCCAGGTATTGAACTCACAACGCTTTGGCTCAAGTCACTGGATTACTTGAACCAACGCTTTTAACCACAGGGCCATTTGAAGTTTATACTGTAACTGTGCTGAGGAAACACAAGTTTCAGTTTCTGGAAGAGAGGGAACGCATAATCTGGCGAGATCAACAGTTTGAATAAGGTCAGTACGCCCAAACAATCGTGTTAACACACCCACCAAAGGCTTCCGAAATAGTCCCGCCTTCTCAATTTCATTCATGAAACTTGGCATGGATTTCAGGCACATTTCCGGCTGATATTATCAAGAAATTCTTTCATCATCTTGAGATCCGAATCGGAGCCTCATTGCCAGAAAGCGAACGTTGTAGCGACTCCGATGCACATTCTCTGCATTGTTGCAGTATGAACCACAGGTTGGCACTGTTTGTGCTGAACAAGCACAAGTAAGTGGGTCTGAACAGTTGGACAGGCTTGGAAACGAGTCACTATAGTCAAGCTGAAAAAAATGACACTTATTTGCAGTGTGCCTTCAAGTTGTGTTGAATTGGAAGGCACTCTAACGTTGGTTGGTAGCCAGTCTACGCGAAGCAAAACTTTGAATTCATACCTTTGGAGAGCCAATTAGAAAATTCGGGGCACACTCTGTACCATTTTTCTGTTGTCATCTCTTCTGCACAAGCCTTCACTGCTATAATCAAATCATATCTAACATTTGACCATACTTAGAATATTGCTGCCACATATGGTCCGGTGCCCCTGTTATTTACCTTGAGCTCCTTAATAAAATCCAAAGTAGAATCAGCAATATTATTGGCCCTGATCTGACATCTCGGCTTCAGTCACTTTCCCACCAACGTAAGGTTGCCTCTCTGTGCCTTTTCTATAAATACTTTCATGTTAATTGTTTGAATAAACTTTTCGCTATGGTACCTAGACATTTTCTTTTTACTTTAAGCACCGTACTAAACTGGCGTTGAGATTTCATCAATTTAGAGTTGAGCTGGTTAGATGTAGCCGTAAATTCTATGCTAATAGTTTCTTCTAATGCACTTCTTGCTTGTGGAACTCTCTTCTGGCTCCATGCTTTCCAGCCATCTTTAATCTTCAGAAAATTAAATGCAATATCAATCGTTATCTACTGTCCTCCTGATTACCCTTCTTTTTTTCTCACTCCTTAGTGAGGTTTATTTTCGAATTCTTCCAAACTTAGTTACCCCTTGTGTTTTAGTGGCTTTACTGACTTGCTGGGGTGATACTGATTTATATTTATATATATATATATATATATATATATATATATATATATATATATATATATATATATTTGTTTAAATATTTAGATATTTATCAAATCTTAACCTCCCAAATATGCACGTTAAAGTAACGCGAATTAACAGCGTCAAAAAATTTGAATGAAACCTGTCGTGTAATTGATTGGGGTTGTTATAACTTCTTCCTTTAATGTCGTTCTTATCATTCACCCCTTAGCCATCTATATCTAAAGAAGAAACGCGTTAAATTTGAGCAAGATCTAGCCGACACACTGGGGTTAAAAATAGGAAACTGAAATGATACATATGACACATTCATATCCTCTCTCCCACCTCACTTCCTCACTTCGTTAACTTTACGTATACTTGATGAGGTCCGTAAAAAACGTGTGAATTTCTTTTCATTCTTCATTTCAGCTTTTGGAAGTAAAGTCTGATGATGCAGAACCCTGTTAAAGGGGTTATGGTGAAATAGCTTATTACATGGAATCTTAACGTGGTCTGTCTTTTATTCAAATATATCTGCTCTGAATTTTACATTGAGCTCTCTGGATATCATCCTCCTCGGGTCTGCCCATACGGATTACCTAAGTTTGCATAAATTATATATAACTAATCTGACGGGTCAGTTATAAAAAAACGAACTTTTAGGTATTCGAAATTAACGGGTGAGTCCATTACATGTGTAAACCCTGTTTGTGCTCATTTTAAATTACAAAGTCATCCAACTTTATCACCTCAAATGATCTAAATACTGTTTTTAAGAAAATTGACGAATTGAGCCGATCAATTTATTCTCGTTTTTGAACAGACAATTGGCATCCGATAACATCTAACTTGCTATTAATGGTGATTTTCTAAGCCCGGCATAGATGTGGCACAAGGCCGAAAGTATGGGGCACCCAGTGAGGATCGAACTCACTACTCAGTCGTAATTAGTCCAGCGAGATAAGTTTGCTAACGCATTACACCACGCCGAGGTTCCCAAATTTTTTTCTCAGCGTAGCTTAGATGTGGCACAAGGCCGAAAGTATGAGGCACCCAGTGAGAATCGAACTCACTACTCGGTCGTAACTATTTTAGGGAGACAAGCTTGCTAACCAATATACCACGCCGGGGTGCCCAATTTGTTATTAATGTCTATGAGCAGTTTTTTGTCAACGATTCTATTGTGATAAATTTATAAAACTCGAGGCCGGAAATGTACCCCCTAATTTCTACCACAGGGATTGATAACCAGGGTGCGAATTACCCCCAGGTAGGGTGATTTCAGATTTTAAGATGATGAGAGAAAAGTCTTTTATTTTTCTTGTTTTTTATTTACAGAATTTTGTTCATTGAAATACAATATTCTGATATTCTATTGAACGTTTTCTGTCTATATTTCTGAGATGAGGTATTATGTACATTATTTACATTATTCGGACAATTGTTCTCATCTTTTTCGCCATATTTATCACAACGTTTCGGCCGTTGTACGCTCCGGCCTTTTTCAGGTGGTTGGGATTTCGAATTGAAACCTTTATTACGCTCACTGGGGTAGACTCTTCTAGTTCCACGTACCATGTTTGATCCACGTACCATGTTTGATGGATGTCAGTTATCAGTTATCTCCTGCTAATTTCCCTCAAGGACACATGACACAGTGGATAAAGGCGTTGGTTAGATCCAGTGACAGGACCCAAAGAGTGTGAGTTCAATACCCGGTTAAGGCAGTGGAGAACTTTCAGAGGGAAATTAGCAGGAGATAACTGATAACTGACATCCATCAAACATGGAACGTGGAACTAGAACAGTCTACCCCAGTGAGCGTAATAAAGGGTTCAGTTTGACATTCCAACCACCCGAAGAAGGCCGGAGCGTACAACGGCCGAAACGTTGTGATAAATATGGCGACAAAGATGAGGACAATAGTCCGAATAATGTAAATAATTGGACTTTTTGTTTATGCTCCAATTAATTTATTTAATAATTAGTTATGAATTAAAAAATAAATCACTGTATATGTATTCAATTTGAAAACATTTCTTATTTTTTAACAATTTAACATCTTTTACTTATATCTTGATTTTTAAGTGACAAAATTTGTAATCAACGGCTGTAATCTTCATCAAAATAAAATCCGTAGGCACGGTGGAGTAATGGATAGCGGTTCGGATTGAGGAATCGGAGAGCCGAGTTCGAA